CTTGGGCGCCCGCATTTGACTGGATCACGACCTGTTCGGGGACACCTAACCGGACGGGAGATTGATACATACCGCCCCTGCTGCTGGACTATTCATCAGTTGATCCATGGTTTGGATGTTCCTTGATTTACGCGGTTTCTGCAACTTGCTTGTAATTTTGAGAACCATTCTTAATGCTTCCTTTACTTTATTTATCCTCTTTCATCGCAAATGTTGAAATTGAAAGATCATTTCTCACCACGATCGCAATATGGCATTTTGTTTGCGGGTATTCACCTTTTTTTACAACATGAAACTCTGCAATCTGCTTGCAAGCTGTTTGGGGCCTTGATGAGCATTACGTGTAAAAAAATCTTAATTACAGATATCACCTCATCCATTGACCACCATATTTGGTCAATTTCATGCGATGGAAGATTTTGATGTTTTGGAAATGCTTGGAGAAGGATTTTTCAGCAAAGTTTCGAAGGTATGTGCAGTATCAAGATTTCTTTGTTTCATTTTTATACAGAGAAGAATTATTGGTTTTCTTCTTCATTTGATTGTACAGCCTAATGTAATCAATGGTCATGTGCAATTCACGTTCCTCTTGAGTTTTCCCAGCTCCCTTTTCTCTATGATTCCGTTCAGGTGCGATTGCGAAGAACTGGTGAGGAAATGGTGCTAAAAGTAGCAAAAGGTACTGGCTCTGCTGGAAGTCGCAGAGCTATCCATGCCGATGCAGCTCGAGAGGCCGCAATGCTCCATCGCTTATCTCATGAGAATATTGTTGGTCTTCGTGGTGTCTGCATACAAGTAAACGATGATGGTAAGCATACCTAGATGGGGAAAAACGCTTGGGGATCAATGTCTTTGTTTTTTCAGGATGCTGGGATATGCATCTTCTCGTGGACTACTGCGAGGGCGGCAGCTTAGCTCGGCTCATTCTTGATAGAGCTGCAGCCTTTCCATGGAGTCAGAGGATACGATACGCTTTGGACATCTCCCTTGCGATGCGGTACCTCCATTCTCAGCGAGTAATTCATCGCGATCTCACTAGCATGGTAATTTTTTTTCGTGTTTTCCCCATGTTTTGCGAACTTTATGCACTTTGTTCGGAATTTTCTTCGTGCAAGTTTCTAAAAGGTGTTTTTCAGAATGTTCTTCTACAATCCACCCGAGAGCCATCAAAATGGGGACGTGCCGTAGTTGCGGATTTTGGTCTCTCTTGTCGTTTTCCAAACCGTGGTGAGAAGTTACCGCAAGTGGGTACAACCTACTTCATGAGTCCAGAATGTCTCAAGGAAGAGTACTACGATGAAAAGGTAAGCGGCATCCTCATTGTTTGACGTTTCCGCATTTGCTTTAATTTATATTTTCGTGTTTTTCGAGTTGCTTCATTTGAGACTAACAAGGGAGGGTCGCGTAGTCGAAGTGGCCGATC